TCATTGTCTTTGAAGTTGTCAGCTGGGTATTTGTATCATGGAATGGTAGCTTCATTTATATGATAGCTTCACTTAGACTATGCATAGGTGATGTGATGCACATACGTACAGTGATCCCAAATAAAAATGATGAGAGCAAATCACACATCCAGTTTATAAAGGTTTTATAAACTGTGAAATGTTTTGGTATAAAACACTAGCTTCAGTCACTGCCATTTTTGCTACTGAAGCTGTCAGTTTATGCCAAAACATTTCAGTTTTTATAAAATCTTTGCAAACTCAGTGTATGATTCATAGTCATGATTTTTGTTTGATAGCTTCTGTTGCATAGGCATCATATGTCTTTTCTAGGAAGCAGACAAATCTGGGATTTAACTCCAGTACTGTCATTGACAGCCATCCAACTCCAAGGTAATGGTGAGGCTGGAAACAACTATGCTCCAAGATACCATGCCATACACATATTCTCTAAATCAGGGGTCAGCAACCTATGGCCCGGGGGCCAGATCTGCCCCCCCGAGGCATTTGGACTATAATAATAATAATAATAATAATAATAATAATAATAATAATAATTTTTTATTTATAGCCCGCCCCTCTGCGCGGCAATCGGGACAGGGTACAACAATGTTAAAATAGAACAAAGTTAAAAATGTTCCCTCATCCCACAATCCCACCCTCCCATCCCCTTAAAACAGAATTAAACAGCAAACCAATTAAAATACAATATTAAGTAAATCAAACAGACAGACAACAAAATAACATGGGGGATCAGATCAGATTAACAAATCAGGGACCCATCTCTAAGCCCCAGGTCAGTCCTGCCGCCACCGCCTCTGCCTCCCCCCACTGCCTGCCACTGCCCGCATGGTGCAGCTGCCATTTTGTTTTCCAAAATGGCAGCCATGACTTGTTTTTGCATGCACAGTACTCTGGCGCATGCGTAAACTAGTCGCGGCCACCATTTTGGAAAACAAAATGGAAGCCACAATTCGTTTGCACATGTGCAGTACTCAGCGCATATGCAAACGAGTCATGGCCATTTTGGAAAACAAAATGGCGTCCGCGACTCGCCCGTGCATGCGCAGTACGAAGTACTGTGCATGCGCAAGTGAGCATGCGTGCATGCACAGTACTTCCAGCGTACTGTGTATGCACGCACGTGCAAGTGCACACAGTGCCATTTCCCCCCCCCCCTTGGCCCGCAGAAGACCTGGAGACCAGCAGACCGGCCCCAGGTAAGAAGAAATTGCCGACCCCTGCTCTAAATAATGCATCTGTCAAGTGTGTGGCTTTTAATAGCTGTGATTCCTCAACATTTGGGACTTTGTGTGAACACAGAAATCCCTTAACCTGAAAAAGTGTTCTTTTAAAATGGATTCAATTGCATTCTAAGAAGACTGAGATTTTAAGCATGTATAGTACAGCTTTCCATAAAAAAATAAAAAATAAAATAAAATTTATTTCTATCCCGCCCTTTGGGAACCCAATCAGGGCAGCTTACAACAATTAAAAATACATAATATCCAAAACAATCCCTCCCCCCCTTAAAATAGCATTAAATCAAAAAAGATTAAAACAATAAATCCAACAATATAAAATTTAAAAACACATTTAAAAGAATATATTTTAACCAGCGGCAATGATCTTCATCCATCAAGATGGGTCCACGCGAAGATCACCGTGGTGGGGGAACCTGAGGCCGGGACAATTAGTCTGGAAAGGCTTGCCAGAAGAGATCCATCTTGACAGCTCTTTTAAAGGCCCATACAGTGTAGTTATGAGAGCCTTCAGCTCTTCCATCACAACACAGAGAGCTGAAGGCTCTCATAACTAGACTGTATGGGCCTTTGCAGACTGCCAGAAATAGTGCTAATTGCGTCCACTTTAAGGGTTAGGATTAGGGAATCATGGGAACTGTATTTTATTGTGGCACCAGAGCTGTCTGACAGAGAAGGCTCAATGTCTCAGAAAAAAACAATTCCCATGATTCCCTAGCACTAATCCTAACCCTTAAAGTGGACTCAATTTGCACTATTTCTGGTAGTCTGCAAAGGCCCTGAGTGCAAAAAGGGACAAGACATGTTTAAAACCATCAATTTTCTCTGAGTGTAGGGTCAGGTCTAAAGAACATTGAAGCTAGCAGTTTATGCCAAAACAGTTAACATCTCTTAAAATGTCAGCATACATTTTCAAACACACATTTATTCTAGTAAAGAAACCTTGTGTTGCACAATACAGCTTTTGGTGAAGAGGAATTTCAGATTTCACCCAATTTGATCATCTCAACATTCAACCTTTTTCTTAGCTTTCTGACAGGATATGTGAAATCTTCAGGGTATATTACCTCTCTCTCTCTCTCTCTCTCTCTCTCTCTCT